TTGGAGCATATTTTGACTCAGAAGTACCTCTCGACAAATTTAGAAAAAAAATCTCAAAATATTTTGAACTCATCGATCTTCGTTCAAAAAAATATCGTTTTTAGAAGCCTTGAAAAAAGCAAATTTTCTGTATCTTGGGAATCTTATTTTTTCATTGTTAAAAAGGGTTGTCTTAATTTTTTCTTGCCTTTGGCTAAAATGTGTCGGTTTCGAAGGAAAATTTCTTCAATAACATCAATCCTATGGCCTAAATATACACAGGAGAAGTTTGAACTAAATCCGTAATATATTTATTATTCTTATTTTGTTTGAAAAATTTTCTGAAATTAACAACAAATTAGGCACGATAATATGATTCATATAAATGCATGAACACCATATTCACGTCATTGACTGTGCGTGTAGCTGGATATAGTACTCGTCTATTCACTCCATTCAATCATACAAAGACCTCAAAAATTATTTTTATGATAAAGATTAGATTCAAATTGTTGATACAATAGATAAACTTTACTTTAATATAGAATGATTTCTATAGAGATCACAAGGCAAGAAAGAGTTAAGCCATCTGAGGACTTTATTAGATAGACTCAGTTATAGACAAGTTCCAATGGGATTCATTTGATATGTTCCGAGATGTGAGTAGAAGAATGTTACTCACCCTTTCTCAAAATGTAATTCTCCACCTGTCATCTGTTGTACTTGGTGTCAAGACGATCTAGAGTTGATCATTTCTTCCTTACGAGAAGACTTTTCTCAAGTGTTCTTACATATTGACAAAATATGGAGAGAAAACAGAGTGCATCATTTGGAAAGATTCCCTCATTAACTATCTTTTGTATTTCTTTAAAATTTGCATGCATATTGCTAAAAATTCAATATCTTCAGAGATTTCGTATGGGTCACGCTGACACTTATCTTAGGACAGGTCGATAGAAGAATCTATCAAATAAAGTCTTAAAATAATATAAGAATGTTCCTCCTGTTTTTGATCATTTCTGATTTTTAAAGTCGGTGCAATCGATAGAGCACCTAAAACAAGGGTATAGACGTTCAAGACAAAAAACTTTGAAGTGAATCTTAAATAAAATTTTCTTTTTTTTTTGGAGCGTGAAAATTTGATATTTCTTGAATATAAACTGGTACACTCGATATATTGTCAGGTTTTTCTAAACTCATCCAACCAAAATATCAACTCAAAATTGCTCCGACAGTTGATGACTTTCCTTTGTTTGATAAATACATACTTGTTTTTGTTTACGTTTAACCATTCGTCGTTTTCGTGGTTGTTTTTGTGTTCTATCATCCATATCACTTCCATTGTCATTATCTGAGGATTCTTCTGATGGCGAATAAAAACATGTTAGATCAAATGGCAGACGTTGTTCTTAAATATATAAATAATACATATGAGAAAAACAAAAAAAAGAATTCTTAATCTTACTAAGAGCTGAATCAACTAAAGTTCGATTTGCTCTATCTTCAGTTTTAAATTTTCTTTTTATATCATCTCGATCACGATTTGGAAAAACACGTGAAATTAATGTAAAATCAGTTCCACACATTCGCAATGCTTGATAAAAACGTAATGTATCTAAATAGAAAAACAAAATTCAATTATTCAAAATTTTCATAAAAAAAAAAAAAAAAATAAGACAAATAAAAAACCTCGATTATTCCATCGTTTTCTTCGACCAATTTTTCTATAACTTTGATGTGTTAAATTATCATCATTAAATTGTCCTTCGACAATAATTGTATTTCTTGGTGTATCATCTATATTTCGTATATATAAACTGAAAAAAAAAAAAAAAACAAAAATCAAATAAAAGATTGTCTAAATATTAAAAATAAAGAAAAAACCTTTCTTCATCGACAACTAATGAACCATTAGCATCAATTTTTAATTGTGGTGCTAAAATAGAATTTTGTCCATCCGTACTTGATATACTCTGTTTACGAACAGGATCATTAGAAGTATCTGGATTTGTTGTTTTGACTTTAACTCTGAATGAAACAAAGAATAAATTTAAAAAACAAAATAACAATTGAAAATTAATTATCTATACTCCATTGGATTATCTCTAGGATTATAATGAGCAAAATCGGCTATTTTTAATTTTGATGGATCAAAAGGTGCACCTTTATTAACACCAGTTTCATCAAGTTTTTCGAATGTTGCTGCACGACGTTTTCGTATTTTCTAAAACAATAATAGAAATTTTATAGAATTAAGAAAAGAAAAAAAGGAAATTGAAATTCAAACCATGTCTGGTTCAATTTTAGCAGCAAGTCGTTGTGCTCGATAGTTAATATGTTGAGTAAGATATTCACGACTAATTTTTGTATTTGTTTGAGATGATAATTGTATATGATTATTATCAATAAGTGATGTATGTGTTTCGAGTGTTTCTGTTATTGTTACTTCGGCTTTTGTTGGGGTTGATATATCACCATCTATTGGAAGATCTGACATTAAATTTAATTGTTGTATTTCATTTGAAACAATTGGTCTATGCGTAAAAAAAAACAACATATAAAAAGAAAAAAAGTATCAAACGATAAAAATTTACTTAGCAATTGGTGAATTTATACGTTCATATGTTATCGATGATGCTATTATACGTTTGTGACGAGATGATTCACTTTCACTTTCGGTACCAGAACAACTAGCCGATGGTCTATAGAAGAAAAAAGAATGTAAGTGAGATAAAGTAGAGATCATACAGTTAGAAGGATGATTTTCTTCCTTGTAAATTTTTCATGCATTTTTCTCATTGAAAATTTTTTAATCTCCGGTAGAACAGATTGGTTATTTAAGAACGAAGTTTTATTTACAATTCTATTAAGAAAATCAGGTATTTTCTCTAAAAGAGAAACTGAATCAGATCATATTTTGAAGAGTAGAATACAAAGTGAGTCAAAAGTAACTGAGCAAATAAGTTTTTCGATTTTTTCTTTGTACATATTCAATTAAATCTCATCTTTTTACCGCGTATACTAGATGATATAATTCAAATATGCAGAAACTTGTTTAAAAGCGTATAAATAAGATGAAGCTTGTCAGTGGAATTATGTCGACGAGTGTTTGAATCAGTGCGTGAGCGTTTGCAACTTTTATAGGCTTTTGAACAAATATCGAAAAACTTCTTTGTCCTATTAGTTTTGGCTCACTCTGTATATTAAAAAATCAGAAGATAAGATAAATATTAAAAGTGTGATTTAATCGTTAATATAGATAAAGTTCGTTTAATAGATACTTTAAAATTCAGTTCAATAACTGAATAGCAACTTCAAGTATCTTTTTTACTGAAAATGTTTCGAACAAGTCGCTTATTAGGATAGCAGATGATTTCAGGTTTCCCGAAAACTTGTTTTTTTTGATTGTGAGAAATTCTTTTCTGAAAACTTGCGGCGTCAAATCCTCTTTCGAATATGATATTTGGAAAAAATTAATGAGTACTCAGGTCGAAGTCATTTCGTCAAATCTCTGAATTATCCGACAGTGAGAACTTGTCAAATTTAATGAAATCCGATGGTATTAAAGTATCTTTTGCTTTTAGGAAGTTTTAGTTATCAAGATATAGTTCGGATTTTGATGTTTCTATTTATAAGATTTCAGTTCTTTTTTTAACAATTGTAGAAAGAAAAAAAAAAAGGTAACTCAATTCAAAAGTGTGTCCAAAAAATTTTGTACAGCATTATAAATTTTCAAGTTTACATGAAAAATTCAGATGGTGTACTTTTTCGGATATGATACTTACAATACTTTCGTATGGGATATCATAGACGATGCATAAATCAACTTTTTAGATGAGGAAATAAACTTTTAAAATATGTCCATTGTATTGTTCTTTCCCAATAGTGGAGGGTGTGGGTAAAGAGAAGACAAACATTCACATCCTTCCAACTGAGAACATATTTTTCTGAAAAAAAATTGACAAATGAATGATTTCTCTCTTAACTTCTTCTCTCCTAATCAGAACCAAGTAAAAATTATGTTTAAGAATTAAGAAAATCAATTTACCGACGATGATGAATTACTGTTTTACCGGCGATATGTGGTAATACTTTTCTTCTAAAGAATGGTCTTGCTGTTGGAACTGGAGTAAAAGGTGGAAGAGAAGGTGTTGATGGTGATGAAGGAGGTGGAGGTGATGACGGCGCTGGCAGAGGTGATGAAGGAATTGGAGTAGAAGTCAATGTAGATGATGTAACAATTGGAAGCGATATAGGTGAAGATGGCTGTTGTGATACTTCAATTGTATCTTCAACTTTTGGTACTAGCTCTGAAATGAAATAAAAATCAGCATAAGTATTGATTTATTTCAAATGTTAAATTTACATTTCGAGAAATTTTTACAAATAAGAAAATTCTAAGAAATCTTTTAATTTGAAAGTTTCTTTTTTCTATAACTTTTTAGTTGTCAATTTATTTATACCTTGAATAACTGCTAGTTCTACGGGAGTATCAATCTGTTGTGTAAATTGTTCTTCTTGTGATTGAGTTGATATTGATTCAACTGATGTTTCCGATGGTCGTACAATAGTACTAACTGGACGCGTTGCTTGTACATTAGGTTTGACATTAACACGAGGTCGACGAAAAACCATGATCTATCTAAAAATTAAACAAAGTTTTTCTTTTTTTTTTTTATAATTAACATTATTCTAAAATGGAATTGTCAAAGTTTCTCAATGTTTATTTCTTCTTGTGATCTAATTTTAGTTTGTTTTTTTCCTAAATTTTTTCTGCATTCGATTAAAATTTTGTAAAACTTTCTGCACAATTTTGTACAAGATTCATATGATATTTATCTTAAAAAAATGAAATGTATGACAATTCTTCAGAACAATTTCATCACACGATTATATTTTATAATAATAACGAATTTTTGCAATTATTTTTCTCATTGGTAAAATGTTTTCACCAATGAAATTATTCATTCCTAATATCAAAAAATCGATTCAAGTTTCTCTGGTAACGAATTATTTACAAAATGATTATACAACATCTTTTATGGATTTATTGTCAAATTAGATTTGCACAATATCTACTTCAAGTTAGTTCAAATAAAAAGAAAATCAATGAAATTATCATGTTTTATTCTAGTTTATTGCAAATACAATTATTCCAGATCATGATGCACATGTATTTAATCCACCTTTATGGTCATTAAATAATGGAACAATTCTTGATATTTGTATTGATAAATTTTTCTCAGGTTTACGTCGTTGGGATGCAATACATTTTCTTCATATAGCTCGATTTGGATATATATATGAAAATTCTTTAGCTTTTTTTCCAGGTTATCCATTATTATTTATTCGTCCATTAGGTTATATTTTAAAGCAATTTTTAAATGAATCAAATGCTTATTTATTAAGTTCAATATTAATAAATTTTTTTATTGGATTATGCAATACATATTTAATATTTCAATTAGGATTAAAATATAATTTAAAATTTTCTCATGCATATTGGTCATCAATACTTTATATAATTAATCCAGCAACAATATTTTTTCTTGCACCATATTCAGAAACATTATTTTTATTTAGTCAATTATTAGGACATAATTATTTAAAACAAAATAAAGTTTTTTATTCATGTCTTTGTTTTTCATTAGGTTCAATAATACGTTCAAATGGTATTATATCATTTGGTTTTATTTTATATTATTATTTTAAAAAAATTTATCAAAAAAAACGACTAATTTTTCCAATACATTATTTTATTTTATGTATTGTACCATTTTTTTTCACACAATATTTTTTATATAAAGAATATTGTTATGAAAAAAATATAATTGATGAATTAAAAATTTATGGATTTAATAATGATATATCAATGCCATTAACAAATTTTTCTTCTACATGGTGTTTAAAACAAATACCATTATCATATCAATATGTACAAAAAAAATATTGGAATGTTGGTTTTTTAAATTATTGGACATGGAAACAAATACCAAATTTTCTTTTAGCTTTACCAATATTTATAATAATGGGAAATTTTATTAAAAATTGGTTTCAAATAATAAAAAAAGATTTATGGAAAAAAAAATTTCAATATCTTTTTTCAAATGAAAATCAATCAAGAATAAATATTTGGTTTGAAAAAAATGATTTTGTTCCACATATAATTTATATGTTATTTTTAAGTCTATTTGCATTATTTTTTATGCATATACAAGTAACAACACGTTTTCTTTTTTCAAGTGGACCATTATTATATTTTATTTGTGCCGATAGAATCAAACAATATGATACTAATAATAGAAATCTTATCAAGATTTTTTATTCATTTCAAAAGAAAACATTCCTTTTTTATTATTATTTTATTTATGTCATTATTGGAATCAGTCTTTTTTCGAATTTTTTACCTTGGACATAGATACCAATAAAAAGAAAGAAACGACAGTAGAATCGACTATATATTATAATTTTAGATTAAAGTAATAAAAATAATGAATCGAAGTATATCAAATGTTCGACGTAAAGATGATTTGGATGAATATTGGTTTGAAAAAATTGCTGTTACAACAAAGGTATTGATAGATTTTCATTTTAATAACGTATGTGAAGACGATTTGTCGTTTTTTTTTACATAAAAATCTAATTCTGAGATTATTTGAAAAACATGACTTCGTTTTTGGTTCTATTAGAGTATATAACTTCGTATAAGAGGTAGATTTTCTTCAGAGTTGTAAATGCAGCCGTAAAATAGTTTTGAAAAAGTTTTACTACAGCAAATCGATACTTGTCTGATTATGTTTTTCCCTCCTGGTGACAATGATTATGTAAGTTCAGGTACACTAGATAGAAGTATATTTTGCTAAAGTATGTTTGTAGTTATCACTGGTACTAAGTACAACTTCATATTTAGCTTTAACTACTATATCCTATATCAATATCTTCTATATTCATAGTCTAATGAAAGTTGAAGATTATCATATCTTTAAGTACGAATAAGAAGAGAATGATCTTGTTGCGTCATTTTACATAAGATTAAGTATCCAAAAAATAATATATTCGTTGGATTTTGATTAATTGGAAAATTTTGACAAAATTTCAAGATGAATATAATTTTCAGATCTAAATTCATCAATAGCATAAATTCTGGAATTATCTTGAACAGTATAGTTTAATGAAGAGCAGATCTAACACGTAATAGTGCATAAATAAAAGTGCCCTCAATGACATTTTGTAGATAAGAATCTTCATTCCTATTCCGGATCTTTTAGAGATTCATTGATCAGAAATACTTGAAGCAAGATAGAGCCTGATGAGTAAAGTAAAATTCGCCATAAACTTGGAACTCCAGGATGCTTTGTTCAAGGTGATACAGAAAGGGAGAGTGGTCGGAGAAGCCTAAAAATGACTCGTTTTTCTATCCTGATTTGTTTAAAATAAAAATTGGATTACAAAAATTAAAAACACGTTGGTGTGTCTAGTTTGAATAGTATCCTTCTCTCTTCTTCTCGTCAAACAAAAAAGAGCTACGATATCGAGAGCACTAGATACCATAAGTGTTTTTTTTCCAGCAGAACTTTTCTTATCAGGTATATGAAAAATCAACAATATAATAATCTAGTACTTTTAGAAGAGTTTTCAGCTCCAACAGAAGTACCATGCATGAAAAGTCAGTTGTATATGGTCACTTGTAAGTAAAATCATATTTAAAGTGCAAAGTACATATGTCAAGTGAAAAACAAAATGTATTTGTACTGCGAAAAAATGTACCACTTTGCACTTAAGATTTTTAAGTATAAAGTGCGAAAAATACAAATATTCTGCTAACGGGTAGTGATGTTTACCAGAGATTGTCATTTGAATATAACACATTGTTTAACAAAAACAAGAATTAAAATTAGAAAACTTCTTCGATCGATTAATTTAGCACGAAGAAGAATAGATATTGCATTTCAGTACATACATTGAGTACCTAAATTATTATCCAACAAGGTTTATTTGCAATTTTCTTCCGTTGTTGTAAGTGCTAGAAAGAATTCACATAGTGATTTGAATAGGGAAAATTTTTTTCAACAGAACTATAAGGAAATAAAATGTTAATTTTCTGGAGTCTCTGTGTTTGCAAACGTGATAATAGTTTTTATATCTTGATATTCCTATGGAAAACAATTTTCACTATTCAAATTAGTGCTTACGGCAGTGAAAAATAAGTTATGACGAATAAATTCGGTACTCACTGTATATTAAATATGATCAGATAACTGTTTAATTTTTTTTTTCAACAAAATCTTCAGACATTCTTTTTGACAAGAGTGATTTATTCGAACAATGTTGTTATTAATCATTTATATGAGTCATCAAATCTGAAAAGTCGGTTTTTCTTATATTGTACCACTGATTACTTCATTTTCTAAATCATTGATGTTCGTTAGGAGAGATAAAATTTTCCAATTTAACTTTAATATCAAGATAACAAGAAAATCTATTGAAAACAAAAAAAAAAACTATCTTGTTCATTTAGACTGCTGAAGAAATTCGTGAACATACAATTCCAGAAGATCTATCACCTGTCGAGAAAACATTAGCTATGCTTGAGTATAATTATTTCTTTATTTTCAATAGATTTGATTAATTTTATTTTTCAAATAGTTCTCGATCTGATATTCAACGTGTTGCTGGTATTCGTTCTATTCCATCTGTAATTATTTCTGATAGAAATGAAACATTCCATCGTTTGTTACCTAAATTTAAGGTATATATGTGTTTTCTTGTTTTTATTTTTCAAAATTTTAATCGTTTTATTGTTTTAATATCTACTATTGTATTTAGTTAATTATTGAACAAACAGTTGATAGTGGAGAACATACAGTAGCAGCAGAAACAATTGTTTCCATGATACAACAACAATCATTATCTTATACAGAATTTATGTCATTATTTTCACAAATGATCTGTGCACTTGTATTTCCGACTACAACGAATCGTTTTTCATTAGGTTAGAAACAAAAAAAAATGATGTATTTTTTTTTAGTAAAATATTTTTTACAATAGATTTTGGTGATATATGGTGCCAAGGATTATGTAATATAATTGATGCCTTTCCAAATACAACTTCATTTACTACGGTTTGAATAAATAATAGGAATTTTCGAAAAAAACAAAAACCTTATTTCTCTTATATTATAGTTACTTGATTTAATCTTTAATAATAGTTTACATGGTTCATATGTTCGAGATCGATTGGCAATAATTTTAGCTAAATTATCATGTCGATTGAGTTCACAAACGTACGAGACAAAATAAAGAAAACAAAACTTATGTAATATAAGAAAAATGATTTGTCTTGTTTTTATTTTCTAGCATTGAAAATCGTTTGTTGCCTGTATTCAAAAATTTTATCAATGATACTAATGCTGATATTCGTGCACTTGCTTGTCAAAAATTACCGATTCTTGCTCAATCGTTCGAGTAAGGCATACAGAATTATTCCTGAAAAGCAAAACTATTGTTTGATAATTAATATAGTTCTTAAAGAAGTTCTCGCTTTCTTTTAAAGGCTATATCCTTCCATTGATTTTTATTTTCGTTCAATAATATTATTGTGATGATTCGTGTGACTATGTGAAAGCATAAAGTAGAGTCCGTCGGGTTCAAAATTTTCGCATCTGAACCAACATGATGAACTCTACCACTAAGTCAAACATTGAACGTATTTAGTTTTACCAAAAAATCAATAAAGTTCCACTTTATATAGAAAATATCAAAAAATTGGTTACAGTCAAAATTAAAATTTTAATTTCGTCCCCTATGGTTGCAGATTGTCTCTGGTGTGTGGCTATTTGGTTTCGGATGAGATGAGGTCGATCTTTCTATTCCACCTACATCAATAATGAATGGGGAAGGGTAAACAATTGCCAGCTTCTTTTTGTTGCTAGTCATGAGTATTTTTATAAAGACCAATCAGTCATTTTATTCAATTAGAATGAAGATTATTGTAATGTTGTCAAAATTAATCATTCTGTTTCGCATAAATGCTTAAATTTAATAGGAGACCATTGAGTCTAAGTAAATAGTACTCAAAATAATCGACTCGTTCGAATTAATTTTTCGAATCTAATGAGTTTTAAGCGAAATTTTAATTCAATATAAACTAATCTAATTAAAAAAAAATGTATTTAGAATAAAGATAAATAGGAGAATGTAAGACTTCAGAAGACTTCCAAATAATTTTAAAAATTTCATCAGACTTCGTGGGACTTCATAAGATTTCTAAGACTTGATTGCATTACAACACACTTCGAGAAATCTTACAAATCGTATGAATAATAAGTTTAATTTCATACATAAGCAAAAGACTTGTTGTTATTTAATAGACAAAGTTAATCGTTTTTATCGATTGCAAAATCAGTGTAAGTAATACAAATAAACAAAAAAAATTAAAATTCTTCATCATATTAATGGAATATTTCTCTATCGACATAAACAAATTCATTAAAAAATCATTCTAATAGAAACTATGACATTTTTTTAGTTCAAATCGTCTGGATCTTTTTTGTTGACTGATTGACAAAATTTTCACATTTCTCCTAAAATATGAATATCGTAATCAAAACAGTTTCATTGATAAATATCATGGAGATTGTCTATCTGGAAAATTTTCATATATGCCAAGAAAAGCGTGGTGAGAAAAAGTGTCCCACAACAGACAAAACAAAAGAATTTCCCTGTGATTAACAAGAACAACTATATCACGTGTATTATATTTTAATCTCGTAGAGATTGCCTTAACAACTGTTTTTATTTTTAAATTCTTATTCAATATTTAGATATAATCAAATGTTAAATTTGATATTACCATTACTTGTTATATTATCAAAAGATGATAATTTAACTGTACGTCAAACATGTTTTGAATCATTACTTGATCTTAGTAAGAATTTAAATGATTCGAGATCGATTGAACAAGTTAATAACATGATTATTTCACTTATCAAATTTGGTATATCATCAAGAACATCGAAGTTTGTTACAACAATTGCATTACGTCTTTCTGATTTGTGTCATGCATTGACTAGTAAGGAAAAAAACCAAAAACTAGAAGATCTAAATGTATGATTTTTATATTCTCTATTAAAGTTTTTCAAATTGATGAATGTAAATTTATTTATGAAATATTTTTACGATTAAGTCAAGAAAAAGTAAGAACAAAAACACCGAAATTTATATATATATAGATATCTTTTTCTTTTTAGAATTATCCAGAGTGTCGATTAGCTTGTGCAAAACATTTTTCGGTAGAAAATATTTCTATATCATCATATATATATATATTTAAAAAAAACATTATTTTGCTCATTTAATAGTCAATTATTGATTATCTTGGTCATGATGAATTAGCAAATGAATTAGAAAAATTATTTTCTGATTTATGTAATGATAAAGATACAAAAATTTGTTCAACTATGCTATCAACAATAATTAATGTAAGTAAAATCAAATAAAGACAAAAAGAAAAACATTCGTTTTTTAGTTTTTTTTTTTTTTTTGCAATATTGTCTCGATAGGATTTTTTTTTAGCTTACAAAATTATATAATAATAATAATAAAGATAAGAAATATATGTCGATAATATGGAGTGGTTTTTTATCTTTATTAAATAATTCAAATTATAATGTTATGATTGCAATAGCAACAAATTTATTAAATATTTTTATTACATTTTCAAGAGATCAAAATGAAGGTTTTTTATATGGATCAATTTGTTCAATACCAGCAGTAAGGAAAACAAAAAATTAAAATAAAATAATTTATCATTGTCTTAGTATTTGATAAATAGTTTTTGTATAAAAATTAAATTTTCTAATTAATCTTAGAATGTAAAGTGAAAAGAAAAAGTTTATTTTAAAATTTTTTCCTTAATAGTAATAATTAAAAGAAGTTGGACTTTGGAGCCTTTCGTAGAATGAATGTAGTTCGATGAAGATAGATTGTGGAGAATATCGAAATATTTTTTCTTGGAGTTGAACTTGTTTACAAAACTTTTTTTGATAGACTTGGTTTTCCAGAGACCTTTCGCCTAAATCTACTGATAAGAATTTAACTAGTATCTCTTCTGATAGAAAATCGTATTAACTACTCAAACTATTTCTTTGATTTGTTCTAGCTGTTACAGTTAAAGAAAAAAGTCAAGCGTACTACATTTCTAAACTTTTTATCTCTACTTTATTTGCACGAACAGAGCATATCAATTCTTTTACTATTATTTTATTTCATATGTTCTTCGTATTAATAAATGGTACAGAAGTTCTGCATTAATTTTGTTTTCGTGTTAGAAAGAGTAAAGTCTCTACTACAAAACTGTAAAGAAAATATTTGGTTCAAATAACTTGCCGAAAGCTGAAAAGTTCTCTACATGTTTTTGAAATGTAGAAGAAAACCTTTATCAACTAAGGAATATGGCCTTATTTTCTGTCTTGTAGTGCCAAGCTAAGATATTTGCAAACAAGTAAAAAAAAAATATTCAGTTTATTGATTGATTTCGAAATCAACATTTCTCTAAAAGGCTTTTGCTAGCGAATAGTGTTCACAACTAATTAGTGCTTCCGACCAATACGATTTTTTCCAGAAATCAAATTCCATATTCTAAATCCAATTAGCGTTTTGTGAGCTCTCTACAAAAGCAAATTTCTAATCTATAAAACCTACGATTTGATACCATTATAAAAGTCGTGTCGTGTTGGTCATATTCACCAGACATGGGCAAGTGAGAAGTTTTTGAAGTACAAATCAAGTCATATTATTAAGACAAAAACTCAATTTAAGTCAAATCAAGAACTGAAAAAAATTTCGAAAGCCGAGTACAAAAAAATCGATTAAATACACTTCTCATCATTGATTTTGTACGAAGTTGTAAGGCACTTTGGAACCTTCCAGTATTTTGAATAATATATCTTTTTACAGTTTTGCAACAGAAACTTTTCTCCTTCTAACAAGTTTGAACTATCAAGTTTTCACTATGACTGTGTTGTCATGCTATACTGAAAATAAAATGAATGTAGAACTTTTGCACGATTCGTTAGAATATTTCAAGGAATTTTTAAAGTCATAATTATAGAATAATTTCTGTGATAAATCTTTTCATCAGGCTTGCTAAATCCAGGTTTTAGAAATCAGGAAATGTTCTTTTTCTCTGTCATATTAGTTTGATAGCGGAAATTTTTTCTTAAAAGCCATGTTAAATGAGAAAAGGAAAGATAGTCTTGAAAAACTTCTATTGTTGGCTATTTCAGATTTGTTTATGCAAATATACAAAAAAAAAAAATAATAGAAAAGAAAATTTTTTTGGGAACATGACTGTATAGTTTTTTAAGCAAGGATTTTGTTGAAAAAGCTGTAAATTACTTTGGAAATAATTATGAATTTATGGATACTAGTAGTTAATGTTTACTTTTATTTTGAATTCGGTTCCAACTAAGTCCTTTATTATTTTGTTATCAACTATTGTCTCAAAAAAATTCCGTACGACTGAAAATGCCTCCAAGAAAAATCTATGTTCATTAAACATTGCGATAAATAATTTCTTTTTCTTCTTTTTCTATTCACTCACAATATCTTTAAAAGTTCAAGTAAACACCTATAAATCAAGAAATAATGTAAATCTATCCTTAATTTGAATTTTATATGATCTACAAATAAAATGCAGTGGTTGATTAAACTGATCTATTGAACTATAGAATAGTATTATTTCATTATCAGAAATAGAAATAATACATCTTTGAACTAGGAAAAGAAAATTGTTTCAACATATTGAAATCAAAGCGGTGATGAACTCTATTATTATTCTGTTTTATATATTAATGATGAATAGCGTTCATATAAAACAAATTTTGAACGAAACATATATCGTTTGAGCCTAAAATACTCTGATCCTCTCGAGAACTTCTGAATTTTCTTGACATAGGAAAAACTTTTGTAAGACTAATACATTTTATGAGAAACAGAAATTACATAATCTAAAATAATCCAAAAAAAGAACATGTACATCGAATATTAAGATTATCATTGTTGATATAGTGTGGCTTAATTAAATTTCCTCGCTTTGTTATACTTGTTTCAGACTATTGCATGTTGTCTTTTTTTCGATAATCAGTATTTCCCAGGACAACAAAAAAAAAAACTTTACTACATCGCATTATATATTAATTATAAATAATAAATAAATTCCCGAGAGTTAGAAATACATAAAAACAAAAAGAATGTACTTTTTGTTACCATAATGTGCACTCGAACACACTCATGTTTTTGTCTCTTCTTTATTCTTCTATGTGCGAACACAATTATTGTCTGAGTATTTATTTAAATATAAAGGTTAGTAAGAAGAAACTTGTGAATATTCAAACAAATCGTTGTATTCATAAATAGACAAAGAAATCAGAAATAAAAATATAATTTTCTCTAACTGTATATTTTAGTAGAAAACGAACATACTCGTTTTCTTTTGTCATGTACTTTGAGTTCTATGAGCTTTACTTATTATTTATGACTAATATATCACGCGATGCAGCACAATCTGTATTTTCTCGTTATGTATTGATTATTGAATAAAAAAAAAACTAACACGCAATATTCTTACAAAAGCATAACAGAATAAGGGAAATCCTATTGTACACCAATATAATCATCGTTATTTGAAAAAATTCTTCAATAAAATTTAATAGATTCCTGATTCAGAAATATTTATAAATCAACTTTTGGAATATGAACGACGAATATTTGAAAATACATTATCATGGCGTTCATGTATATTATGTCTTCAAGCATTTGTTCAGTTACCATATTTATTATCAAGTGAACAAATTCAAACAAAAATTTTACCACGTATTTTTTCACGTATATATAGTGTAAGCAAAATAAAAAGCAAGTTTTTTGATAATTATATACGATTGATTTTTAGAAACAAGTTTGTGTACGTGAAACAGCTGTTGATAGTTATATACAATTATTAAGAAAAATTCCACGACGATCAATAAGAAAAAATGCATTTCAAAAATTAAAAACTGAGCTCTTATTAAATAAATCATATCAATGGCGTATTATGTATATAAGAGTATGTCGACAAATACTTGTTCATTATTCGAAACGATTTTTTAAAGAAAATTTTCTTGATACAATTCTTTCAATTGAATATGATCCTGTTTTAAGTGTAAGTTTATGCAAAAAAATATTTTTCATATATCGAAAATGAATTCAATTTCACGTTTAATATTATACATTCCTATCTACGTTTATGCTTTATTACAGGTTCGAATTCAATTAGTCCCATTACTAGTTGAAATAAAATCTATTCTTCGTTTACCAGCTGATCGTCAACCAATATCAAAAATTGAAACAATGATGGGATATTTTCTTGCTGATAAAACATTAACATTACATGATCTTGCAAATAATGGTCTTCTACAATTAGATCAAATACGTTCATATAATACAGCATCAATATTTTCAAATCATTCATCCGATGATAATAACGATAAGAAAAAAGAAAACGAAGAATATTTTCTTGATGAAATAGATGCATCAACACGTCGTTCATTAAATAAATCAAATGATCAATATTCAATATCAAAACGACTTACAGATACATCAATATCACAAAAACAAACAACATCATTACGAAGTGCACAATTATTAAAAACATCTTCTGATATACTTCAACGAAAATCATCATTACCTTCAGATACAAATCATGAAATGCAAGATCGCAAAATTTCTTTAACAAAACAACGACGTCGACAAACATTAGCTGACAATACAGTGTCAACAACGTCATCATCACGATTATCTAATCAAACGCCAACAAAGAAAAATTCCAAAGGCAAGAACATTTGAAACAAATTTTTTATTGTTATTTTGACACTTTATTATTCTTTTTGTCACCTTAGGAAATTGAAGAGAATAAGAGCAGAATGAGCCTGTTTAGTGCAATATAACCATGAATGATTACTAGAATTACTATACCGAATATGAGCAAAACAAAAAGATTTTACTTGAAATGTTTATTTTTTAAAATTATTATCTACTGTACGTGAAAACTTTAATAGCAATAACAATGATTTGAAAAAACAGACAGTTGTGAAAATTGAAAACGAACCTTATTAAATCTAATATGCCGGGGATTTTGTTTTTGTTTTTTTTTTGTTTAATTTCTTTTTTGTATTTAATTTTTTTGTGTTTCGGTAGTTGTGAGATATACATATATATATACGTGAGCGAAGAATGTGACTGTCGTGTTATGTATGACTTAATTGTTTTATTTCTCATGAGCAATGCCTTTCTAACCTGCGTGACTGTTTTTTCTTTCATTCTTTTTTTCTTTGGTTAAATGCGTCGTTGGATTGCATGATCACTAGTTCTCTTCGTGATTATTATCATTGACACCATTTTTTACTTTTATTTCAAATATTGCTCATAGCAATTTAGAAAAGAATAAGTGAACATGTTGCATATAAATGATCGAATAAAATTGATTCACGTCAACAGAATATAAACATACTTCTTGTATCACTAAACGAAAGATGAAAATAACGATAAAAATGATGATGTTAAAGGTAAGGCCATGTGGGACACATCCTAATTTGTGTATCTATATATATATACATATATATATCGACAAAATCATCATTACAGGTTATTTTTAATGTGATGAGTATTCGATAAAAAGAAACTGGCCAGTTTTTCGGTATAAAAAGACAAGCAAAGAACTCAAAAGACAATTTTTATTCTAATTTATAATTCAAATATGAATTCTGCACGTTGCTTAAGTGTACATATAAACTCAAAGTCATATGGTGAGTACTTCATTTATGAAATATTGAATCTAATTTATGAGTTCAGATAAGAAGAAAAATGATTATAAATCCAATTTATTTAAATAAATTTTAGTATGAAATAGATTTCGCAATTAATATATTATTTTAAAATATTAATATTTTAATATTCTTTTAAAGTTAGATACGAAAAGATTTATTTATGTTTAGAAGAAAGAAGCCGATAGGTTTCATCGATAGCACAAAAGTGTTAGTTTTCTTTTTTTTTTCTTTTGATAACTATGTACTTAAAAAATAAATCGATTTTTATGAATAAGACAAGGCAAACGAATAAATGGAATTGACGAACTACTGTCAATTTACATGTCCTTCAAAAGATAGATTTTTTTTGTCTTCATAAAAGTTATTCAAACTATCAAATTACAGTCTTTTCTTTCAAAAAAAATTATATCAATATTTACAAGCAAAATATTTGATATAGATTTGAACTTATTTGGTTTCTTTCGATTATGAGTTTTTGAGTGATTTATTTTTTTTTAATCGACAGGTTTGATGATGTTTTTTCTCTATAAGTACAATTCTAATCATATATGTGAATACATATTTAAGTGTCAATAAAGCAAAAAACATTTTCATAATTGTAGGTTTATTAATGAATCATTAAAAAATAAATAAATAAGATAATTTGTATCATTTTGTGACAGGTGAAAATAAGCTTGAAATCTACTTTGATATTGTGATTATTGGGATTACTTAATCGATCATTTTATCGGTCATCGCTATTAGTCATTGACCTTGAAAAGGTGTTTTACTCATTTTTTCTTCCTTCCAAAATGCATATATATTATTCTGATAATCGTATATAATAAAGAAATGCAATGAAAAGAATTTGCAAAGAAATTTTTGTTTATCGAAAAGGTAGTCTTTTATATAAGTGTATGTCAATGTCATAGCTGAAATTCCGTCCAATCTCGTGTTGGATGGAGAAAAATATGGCAATACGTAAATTAATCTGTAGATTGATGATAAGATTAAAGTCTTATTGGTGTGAACTAATACTATTTCAAGTAATAAAATTATTTAAAAATTCAATTAATAAATAGACAATTTTCCATTAAAATAATTCATGTTACTGTTCTATCATAATTTATTTAGTCAAAATCAAAATCTTACGTTGATCTATAGATAAATTCCAATATTAATGTAAAGTCACTAAGAAATCTGTAATTTCTAGGTGTAGTCTTAGTTCGGATATTGACATATAAACATGAATCGATGTGGTTAAGTTAAAAACATTTACCAAGAAAGTAAATGCTTGCTAGATAAAGAAAATGTCGATAATAATTTGAATTCAATGTCAAAGACAAAAGCAAACTTTCAACAACAAAAAATAAGAAAAGCGCATCTAAAGAAAAAGGACGCCTATTAACGTCTTGGTATTATAACACATACATACGATCAAGACTCTTTTTTACCTATATATATATACGTATATATATTGAAAGATTATTTTTTTATTTTCATTGGACAGAATCAAAAATACGAGAAATAATTCATACAGATTCTAAGCTTTTTTTTTTTTTATTGATCAAAAAGAAAAACAAATTTACATATATATAATGGAGTAAGTATATTGTATTCATCATACTTCACTTTACAGAAATATATACGACAGGTAAATATGCTTTTTTCGAGTTCTGTTAAAGATCGTTAGATCATTTTTATGAAAGACAAAATGATTAGAATTAGGAAAATATAAGAAATATAGCACGCGATTGTTGATTGTCTTTCAAAAAGTGAGCATCAATGATTACAACAGTAGCTTTGTGATGCATCGAAAAATTCAATTATTAATTAATTAATTTTTTTAAATATTTCAAGTAATTTTCTTTCTCCTATAGACAGGGCAAACCGGCGTCACTCGGACACAGACACAATGATGCAACAAATTCATCATCCCCGCACGATAGAGGTAAGGTAAGTTTCTAATTGAAAAAAAAAAAACAAATCGATCCAACTCTGTTTTTAACTTGTGTGTATTTCATCGTCTATATATGAAAATAAAAGAAAAATTATAAATTTTCAAACGAACTAGATTATTTATCTTCAAGGATAATGTGTGTGAGTGTGTACGTCATTTTGAATGCACTCACCCACACATTTAAAAAAAAGAAAACTGTAACTTTGATCAAGGACATAATGGAAAGTAAAGTCAGCTGCTATTTTTACTTCTTGGATTGATTCTCATATCGAATTTCATTTATGTCAGCAAAAAGAAATAGTATATTTGGTCCTCAGGTATTAAAAACTAGTATCACAGATAATGAAAATTGAAAAAAAAAACAGAAAAATACCGAAAGTACAAATTCCTCTATTTTATTTTGTTCTAGCCAACTCGGCACACATTCAATTTGGGTTTTGCTGAAAATGATGTACCGCAATTATTTTGTCAATTGGATGTACTCCGTCGATCAGAAGAAGCTGATTTTGCTTATTGGAAAGAGAAAGCACGGTATTTAGAAAAAAAAATAACTTCATCCTTTTGTTTTTTAAATTTAATAATTTATTATTCTTTTTTTTTTTTTCATTTTAAGTTGGGTACGTTTTGAAGAAATAGCAGAAAATGTTCTTGGTCGTTGGTCAAAACCTCATGTAGCAACATTAATGCAAACAGCTCTATTAGATTTAAAAAATTTATTAACTAATGGAGTTATTCTTCTTAATGTACAAGGAACTGATTTAACAGCACTTTCACGTATAATTCAAAAATGTGTTTTTTTTCTTTTGAGAAAAAATTTTTATTTTATTTTTGTTTTTTAGAAACAATTGCTCAAGCACTTATTGATTCAAATTATCTTGATGATGTAGATAAAGCTCAAAAAGTTGCTTGCATTCTTGGTTTACCACATTTTCATCATCACGAAAAACGTTCCGTTATGAAAACTGCAAGTTCAGTTAGTTTAAGTAAACAAAGTCTTCATCCAAGTCCAAGTTTTGTTATTAATCATCTTTTACGACGAGGTTTATATAATTGATTTTTTCCGTTAATGTTTGTTTCTTTATTGTTTTATTTATTCAAATAGATGATGAAATTGATAATTCACAAGATATGTCAGCACCACATTTAATTAGTAAACCATCAACTCATGATATGACATTAACCGAACATAATGAAACAAATGGTGCAACAGTACCATCGGCCAAGGTAAAGCAAAAACAACAAATTTTAAAACTAGATAAATCTCAATGTTTCATATATTTATTCAATTATTATTAGTTAGAGAGCATACGAAGAGTACTGGTTTTGGTAGATGTTATTTCACGAGAAAGAGTTAATTAAGTTTTTGTTTCAGATAACCTTTGGTTAAAAATTTCATGACGTAGTGATTAGGAGTCGTTCGATTGGTGAAATTTATCAATTAGATCGAGCATCTGAAAAATACGTAATACTTTATCTGTAGAATAAGGTGGATGTGAAAATAATTAAGATAAATTCTGACGCTGGTTAGTAAAAGCATCTTTACGAATTTATACTTGAACATTATTGTAATGATTTTTGATGTAGTGAACGCTAGCCCATGGTCTTTGTCTTCTTATTCCATTATTAAGTAACTTTAGGGTATTATTGATATAGTTTTAGTGATTAGAAACAGGGCCCTGTAGTTCCAAAAAATACCTGCAACCGGAGCCATGGTTCCGATTCCGGTTCCGATTTGTAAAAATATTAAAAAAAACAGTTTTAAATTCGGTTTCAAAAAAGTGCCGTAGCAACTGGTGATCTCTGAATAGTATGTCAAATAACTAATGAGAGTGTTTTTAGAAATTTCTATGTTTCATCTTTCGAACCTGTCGATATTTATTATTTTATTGAAAAATTATTTTCTTCGAAAGATCAAACAAAAAGAGAAAAACTGGAGGAATGAGTACGATTATGGTTGTTGATAGTCTCTTTCCTCCACATCTAAACGTACACTCTGAATGAGTCTAGGTATCAGTAAAAACAATTTCGGTTTCAACAGTTCCGGTTCCGATTTTGAGTGCAAGAAACTGAAAAATTTAGTTTCGTTTCTATGCTCAGTTTCATTTTATTTTGGGAATCACAAGGTTTCCTCTTTTTTATCGTATGTGCCAGTTTGTTAAAGAGTATTTGACTAGTTGTTTTTAGAGAAGAAACGAAACATTATTCTGCGGCTAAATTACTACGTCAAACTACTTAGGATCACTTCATGTATTCTCTATATTTCTTTAGTCAGCCATGTTCAACAAAATTTGATTGATCAAATTAGTTGCTAATCGCTGTATTGAGTGCTGTAGCTGATATGATGAATTTTTTAATCTAAGATTATTTGAAAAATACTTAACAAATCGATTGAGTGTGATTAAGGATGGCTACTAGCTTAAATATGTACTGAAACAAAAACTGGATTAATTCCTTTTTGTGCACTTTTATTTTATCTATCAAAATCACTACTTTTGATGTGCCCTAACGAGGAAGCTTCTTCGGTGGTCCTCTTCCAATTTCAATGATTTTTTTACCTATAAGTACTACCTAGTGTTCGAATAAAAACCCTACAAGGATTTGAGTTCCTATTGATATTTAACTAAACTATTAAGTGTTTAATATGTCTATGTTCTAGAAGTCCCAGATTTTTGGAAAACTCATTTTTTCGAATATTGATATGAAACTTTGTCTACATAGAGGACTCAAATAAACTAGTTTTCTCAAAAAAAACGCACAAGTTTTGAACAAAGTCTGTTCACGATATGAAACTTTCAAGACATAGACAATTTTTAATGAATAGTGTGTAGTCGCGGACAGAAGTTAAGAGCAGCTGTATTTTGAGTTTTTTTCTCGATGATAGTAACTAGCAAGAATCTGAAAAAAATATTCGTGTAGTTGAAAGGATTCTCTATTAAGATTAATAGATCCGAATGCTCCAAAAAGCTGCTTGAATGATAATCTGAGAAAAATCACGATCCTCAAAACCAGCTATCAGAATTTCATTCGAAGCTTTGGGAAAAGTTGTTGTTTTGATAAACCAAATAATTCTGAGCAAAGTGAGACGTTCTTGACTTCTCCATGACCTGTCTTCATCGAACTCCATCCAATTTACCGGAGGTGCAAAAGCGTCAAACATGCCGAAAACACTGAAATTCTCAATGAAAAAAAGAAAAATACTTTTTCGGCCCTTTGCTAACCATGACACACCCACCTTTCGGAGTACTACTTATTGGCCACTTGAACTTCGCACGAACCTCATCGTGATAAAATAGAAATAATATACTATATTACCATTATTTAATAATGGAATTATGTTGACTCTGGAGGAGACTTGAGTCTAAGAAGGACAAAAAAAAACAGGAGCTAATCTGAATAGTATTTATTCAACCTTTTTTACTTTCTTCTCATCTTCTATTCTCAAAAATGGTTGAGTTTGCGTATTGTATATGAAGCATTCACACGAATTCTAAGAAAATTTATTATCGTAACGATGATCGTCATGCTACAAAGCAATGTTTTGAGAACGAAATATTTCTACGTAGACTGTATTCTGCTGAAACATCCGTGTTGACAAGGAAAATAACTTACTGGAAAGTTTCGCATGTTTCGGCATGATTTCTTTCCTCATGAGAATTGATATTCCGGTAAAATGCATCGTAGTTGGAAGGAAAGATCCTATCTAAGGCTATAATTACAAAGCATTAAAAAGAATATCGCTGAGGTTCGGTTGGACTCCAGGTGGGCAACAATCGTTCATATTTACTTCTAGATAATTTATCGCATAAACAACTAGGAGAGAAGCTAGTCTAGTTGAGTTCTCTATATGCGCAAAGTTTCAGATCAAAATTCGAACATACGAGTTTTCCGAAAACCTGGAGTCTCTAAAAAATAGACATATTCAAAATGCGGTGGCTTATTCAGATCTTGATAGGAATCGAAATCTTTTTAGAGTTTTTATTGGAACATTGTGTAGTATCTATAGGCAAAAAAAAATCATTGAAATTGGAAGGAAGTAACTGAAGATATTCTCTCGTAAGTAGTTAAAATTCGATAAAAATCTTACTAAAAAAAAAAGTAAATAAAAATTTTTCGATTAAAAGATATGAGAATATAAAAATGATATTTACACTAATCTATTCAATGCATGAAATAATACAAAAAATAAACTAAGAGATAAGAAGAGATTTTTGTTGTCCTTTAATTTTTTTTTAACATTCTTCACCATTTAGGATTATAATATAAAATTACAACGAAAATTAGGTCGTAAAACTGAAGGTGCATCTATATTAATATGTCCAGTGGATTTTGTTCGAGAATCAACAGTTGTATTTCTTCGTGTTGAAAATGCTATTGAATTATTAGGAATGCTTGAAATAAAACTTTATTCACGTTTTATCGTTCTTTTAATTGGACCTGAAGAAAATGAAAAACAATTATTACAAGTTGGACGAACAATGGCAGCTATATTAACTGATGATATATGCAGAGAATTTGCTTATACATCAAAAGATTCTCAAGGTATTTTGGACATGATGGATAGATTTATGCAAGATACATATGTTCTTCCACCATCTGAATGGGATCCAACAATTCGTATTGAACCACCATCACAATATATGAGCAAAGTAAATTAAATAATAAGTTTATATAGGAAAAGAAATCTTTATTTGAATTTTATTTTAGGAACAACGACAAGCTCAAGTACCAGCAGAAAAAGTAGGACAAGTTGAGGAGATTGATTTAACTCCTCATACAGATCCAAATTTAAAAGCATCGAAAAAGTAAAAACAAAAAAAAAAGAGATTTTATATTAAAAATTATAATTGTTCTAGGCCATTTCATGGTCTTTTCGTCGATATTAAAAATAAATTACCATTTTTTGTATCAGATTTTACTGATTGTGCTAGTTTACAATGTATAGCGGCTACACTTTATTTATATCTTGTATGTCTTTGTTCAGTTGTTGCTTTTGGTGGTATGCTTGGAGCAGCAACAAACAATTATATGGTAAGATGTTCTTATCTTTCATAACAAATCTGTTTCTATGATGAAATATTTATTAGAGAACAAAACAACAGAACTTAAAATACTTGATAAGTTCACATTCGTCAGTACGATCAATACTTGAGAGAAGAGAATATTTCTCTTCGTTGTGTCTTGTACTATTTCGAATTTTAATTTTTAAATAGACATGCTAAATGAATGAAGAATTTACAATATAAAATTGCAGGAAAAACTTTAGAAATAAAGTATTCCTGACTTGTTTTTCCTTAGCCGTAATAACTAGAACAAATTGAAAGAAAAGATTTAATTAGTTGGAACAATTCTCTTTCAAAAGAAGTACTTTTCAATTTTCCATTAGCAGACTTGAACAAAAGGCCTCTGAAGAGCAAGACTCTTGAAACTAGTTTTCTGAATTCAATCAAAAATGTTTTGCAAACAAGTTTATCTAATGGAGAAAATATTTCTGAACAAAATAACATGTCCTCGAGCGCTTTGCAACTTATCTTCAACGAAGAACACTCATTGTCCTATAGCTCTTAAAAGCTGTTCTTTGTTGTTTTTATGAAAACTTATATGAATTTCCTGCTGTTTACATTTTAAGGCTTTTTGTATGATAAGTGTACTTTGCTGAAGATAGGTCGTGTAGAGCTTTGAAGCATTTAATTTTGTTCGGAAATGTTTTCTTCTGTATCAGTTGAGCTTATTTACAATATGTTTTTTGATAGAATCCAGAAAATTCGTTTTGGTTTTCCAGAGACTTTTCACTCAAATCTGTGTATGGGAATTTGATACGTACTGCTCTTAATAGGAATTCGTTTCATCTATTTCATTTTTTTTTCTCTGAATTATTCTAGTTATTACTATCAAAGAAAAAAAGTCAAAAATATTTCATTTCGAAACTATTGTATCTTCATTGTACAACTGTTATTTGATGTGCTAACTTTTCTTAACCTAAACATGTTCGAGTGATGCAAAACAAAAACAAAACCATCATCATCATCGTAGGCTCTGTATATGTTCACCATGCCATTGATATTGCAGTTAATTGATGTGGGTCGATACTCCAGATTTTCATAGTTTTTCGTTTAAAAAAAAGCATAGCTCAGTTGATTTCAATTTTACTTCGAAATCTGCTTCTTTTGCTGTTACTATGTAATTATAATTCGTTTGACAACGAGATAAATTTCCGCATCCGTTTGAATTCGAAATCAAAATTTGGCATCTCAATTGAATTTTCTATTTTTTTGACAGTATCATCAGGTACGAGTGTTAAAGATGTCCAACTTCAATATTCAATTTTTTTTCTCACAACCTTACTATTAGATTTATCATCTTATTCTATTTTACTTGACTTAGGCTACAATGGAATGCATTCTTTCAGCTTCATTAAGTGGTGTTATATATGCTTTATTTTCTGGTCAACCGTTAAATATTCTTTCAGCAACTGGTCCTATGTTAATCTTAGAACGTATATTAAAACATATGTGCAGGTATGTTTAGTCATTTTTTTTTTCTAACTTAATTTTTAAAATATTTTTTTATTTTTCTTACAGTGATCATAAGCTCGATTTTCTTGAATTTCGTTTATGGATTGGTGTTTGGATATTTGTACTTTTATTTATATTTGTTGTATTTAATTTAAGTTTTCTTGTTAAATATATAACACGTTTTACTGAAGATTGTTTTGCATCATTAGTTGCAACAATATTTATCTATGATGCTTTACGTGAAATTTTGAAAATTCGTCAAACATATCTAGTTAATTATGCACCAAATAATGTATTAAATTATACATGTTCATGCGTAAATATTACTTCACATTATACTAAAACAAAACTTAATGAAACAAATATGATTGATTATTTATTACATGCAACAACTTTAAATGAAACACTTCGATCTGCATGTATACAAGTAAATGGTTCTCTTGTTGGTCCAGGTTGCTCAACACCTGTTTATTATGCTGATATATTCTTTTATTCTTTAATTTTATTTATTGTTACATTTTTTATTTGTATGAGTTTACAAGAATTTCGTCATAGTGCATTTTTTCCAAGCAAGGTAAATAAGAAAACGATCGAAAAAATACAACATCTATTTATATATATATATATATGTGCAATATTCTTTCTTTCTTTTTTTTTGTTAATATTTAGATTCGAACGATTCTTGGAGATTTTTCTGTCTTAATCGCTATTGTATTAATGTCAGGATGGGATGCATATTTACATTTAAATACACCAAAATTACAAGTACCAAAAGAATTTAAACCAACATTGCCAAGTGAACGTGGATGGATAATACCATTTTTTGGTAAAAATGCTCTATGGACAATACCAGTAGCAATAGTTCCAGCATTAATAGCAACAATACTTATATTTATGGATCAGCAAATAACAGCTGTGATCATAAATCGAAAAGAATTTAAATTAAAAGTAAATGAAAAATCTTCTATTGGTCTATAAAATTTATTTTTGTTTGTTTATTATTTTTTTTTCTTGTCTCTTATTAGAAAAAACTTGGTTATCATCTTGATTTATTTATTTTATCTATTACAGTATTTGTACAATCCTTACTTGGTTTACCATGGTTCGTAGCAGCTACAGTTTTAGCTTTAACACATGTTAATGCATTAAAAATTATGAGTGAAAATACAGCACCAGGAGAAAAACCAAGATTTGAAGGAATTATGTAAGAAATATATTTATTATTTATTATTTTTACAATAGAACTCATTTTGAAATTTTATCTATTTCTTTTTAGTGAACAACGTGTTAGTGCTCTTTTAATGGCTATTTTAACTGGTCTGAGTGTATTCTTCACTAATGTTTTAGGCGTATGTATTTTAAAAGTTATTCATTGCTAATGAACAAAAAAGAAACAAAAAAAAAACAACGTAGGATACTTGACGCTGCAGCTTCTCTTTTAGAAATATCTTTCGCATCTCTTTCGCTTAATGGGTTGAATTTCATATATCTACTATATATAAAAGCTAGCATGGCGAGATAGGCTGCATGTTATAACATACGGCGAAATTGTGACAGCAATCATCGGGAAAAAAAACAGGTTTACGATTAGAAATCCAATGGCCATAATAATAAGTACTAATTAGAAAGCATGTATTTTCAATCATGATTCTCAGTACCTATTTGCATGACTAAAAAATTTTAGTATGCAGACAGCTTCATGATAAGAGAATTAGTGACACTCGAAAAATACTCATTTCCATATAGTCATAATAATAGGCTCACTATATGTCTAGCGCCTGTCAGCAAAAAAAGGAATACTTCTAAATAATGCTCGCATGAATTATAATGTCAGTTTCATCGAACATTTCTTTGATGTTAACGATAATGAAAATTGAAATTACATTTGTATTTCAAGTTACGTCATGTCTCACGATATTGAGATTAAAGTGTATCGCATTATATTGGCTTTTTCGGAGAGAAATAAAATGAATGTTTTTGTTCGAATAAAGTAATTTGTTATCATCTATAGAAGGATTTTATATAGTATAAAGATCAAAGGGTAACATCCCGTTATTTCACAACATGCAATGTGCCTCCACTAGCAAATAAAGAATAGTTGTTTGTTCTTTCAAAGTTTTATATTACCCTTCCGGGAGAAGAAATCTTGATAGAAAAAACATACTGATTAATATTTAACAAGAATCTGATTGATTACTAAAAAACAAATATTATTTTTAATTCCGATTAAATAAATCCTTTTGTTTTTCAATTTCAGCACATTCCAATGCCTGTTCTTTATGCTGTTTTCATGTTTATGGGTGTTTCAGCTCTACGAAATATGCAAGTACGTAAATTTTAAAACATTTAGTTTTTCATTATAATTCTTTCATATATATATATATTTAAAGATTTTTGATCGAGTTTTATTAATGTTTATGCCACAAAAACATCAACCTGATTATCCATATTTACGTCATGTGCGTATAACACGTGTTCATTTATTTACGGCTATACAAATTATTTCACTTGCTGGTATGTTTGCTATAAAAAGTGTTAAATCAATAGCAATTGGTTTTCCAGTATTGGTAAATTTTAATTGATTTAAAAAATCTATTATCAAAAAAATCAAATTAAATCAAATCTTATTATTTGTTTCAGGTACTTGCAACATGTTTTGTTCGTAAATTAATGGATAAGATTTTTACACAAGAAGAACTTTTTTGGCTTGATGATATATTACCTGGTACTAAAATTGGTCGTATTCGTCGTACATCAGCTGCTCGTAATGTTCATATACCAAAATCAAATGATGATGATGATAATAATGAAACAATAACAGTAAATAAATTTAAATTTGATTTTTTATTTTATTATTTTTTTCGAAAAAAAAAAACAACATAATTAAACAAACAAAAAACCTTTTTCAGCCACCAATTGATAAACTTGATGATGGAACTAATCGAGGTTTATCAGGAAATAATTTACGCAGTATTGCAGAGGTCGGTCTATTTTACGATTTGAATATTAATTTACATGAGATGAGCTAGAATATTTGATTTGTTTTGGCTTCAAACTTGATTATGCACGATACATTGATTTTTTTCTTTCATCTAGATTGTAAAAGGCACATCAATGAAACAAGATTATATCAATGATGGTCATATGCCAACTAGTGATTCTGATCAATCACATGCTCCGTTGATTGTTGTCACAGAAGCATTACCATCAGAGGAATTAGAAGAAGAAGAAGAAGACACCGTAAAATCCTATATTATATTTTTTTTTTGAATTTTTAAACCAAAAAAAACAACACTAAAATGCTCTTTTATAAAGATGGGATAAAAAAAATGTCTAAATTTTGGTGATGGTAAAATTTAATTCATTTAACCTGTGCACATTATTGCTTATAGGTCACATCACCAGAAACCAATAATAATAAAAATAATCAATCACAAAAATCTACGCATGTACCAATGGTGACATTTGTTGCTGGTCATCCTGAAGATGATTGAATATTGCTTGTAATATACATAATCTAACGCGAGCTCTTCTCCTTTTTATTGCTTAATATTTCTTACATATAGTAGATAGAAAAGAAAATCTATTTCGATTAAAATTTTATTTTTAGGAGGAAGTTGAACATTTAATGATTCGTGATTTATCATCAGAACAATATCATTTTGTCAATGGTAATACGAAAAATAAACTTGGTCCAACATCGGTATAACAAAAAAATTAAAACTTTTTTTTCTTTTTGATTTTCTATGCTTGCTATAAACAAAAAAAAAATTTTTCCTCTTGATTAAACTAGTGAATGCATTGAAAAAAATTCATTTTTCTTTTTTTTGTGGTCTTGATTATATTCATTATGTGTTTTTTTTTTGTCACAACGAAAATTTTTCTTTTGTTTTCTTTAAAGTAAAAAAAAAACCAAGATCGACTTTTTAGATAGAAAATAAATGATAATTTTCTCGTTCTTTTATATTATACTGAATTTAGGTTTTGATATAAAGAAAAAAGAAAAGAAAAAAGACAGACTATGTTGGAGAAAAATAATCAAGTGTATTGACAAAGACATTTCCGATATTTGAAATTACTATTTACTTCAAATGAATAGAATGCTAAATATTTTCTAAAAGAACAACGATCAGCGACTACACTATATGCATTTCAAAGTTTCTACGATGTTTTTATGTTTCTATGATGTACTGTGCACATGTCTAGACATTTACTAATTAGAAAAAATGCGAGTAACATTTGCTTCAATACGTTAAAAATATCTTATTTTGTTTTTGGCTTGACTAAAAACAGTATAGAATAAGTAATAAAAACAAAAGTGAGAACAGATTCTTTTAACTCATGGGTACATAATCCCAAGGCATAGATAGGAACTATAAGTATTAATGTGGGAAAACTTTTCTATGAGCAAAACAAAAATAAACTTAAGGGCATAGTTCATGAAAATATTATATGAATGTAATCATTCATCTCTTATTATATAAGCAATGAAAATAAATAATATATGGAAATTAGAATTTATTCTCACGGGAAAATCAAGTCTAATTATTTAACATTCAATTAATGAAATAAACTTGAAAATGAAGATTAAATTTTAAAAAAAAATAATCAATTAAAATCATCGATGATAATTTTACTGAATGAACTGATGAAGTTCGTTTGAAATACAAAAGAATAAATATATATTAATTGATGCATCATTTTGAAAACCATTCAAGAATAAATAACCATGCCGAGAACAACACTCATTGTCACATTTAATTTAATAACTAAACGAGTCATTCGCTATTCCATTGAAACAAAAATGAGTTTTTTCTGAAAATATAGATCACTGAAACAAAAAGAAAAAAACTGATCGTATCTCTATGTTTATTCATGCTCAAGAAGAGTGCTTAATAGGATTTTTATATATCTATTTGAAATGTTTTCTCGTTGAAGATGTCAAAAATTATTTGTCTTTTTTTTTGTAATAAATGAAAAATGTTTATTAAAGTTTCTATTAATTAAATAAAATAACAATGTTTAATATAGAAAAACAAAGAAAAAACCAGAAATATTTATTAATAATAAATACTGAGATGTTCGATATGACAAGCACGGTTTTTTTTTAAGAGTGTACTTAGACTTAATTAAAAATGTCAACTGCTTTATTTCATGTTTATCATTATCAATTGGAACGGATTCTATTATTATTGATCATTTTTTTTTGTCTATTATTAGAAAACCGTTCAACATTACTTCAACTCATATATATAAAATATATTTTATATTTATTTAAACAAAGTTTTTATTGTGAACAAAGAAAAACAACAAATTAACTTTCACTGTACAATAAATATATCGGCGAAAAAAAAAAAGAAAATTGTCATAATTTTTTCTTTAATTATTTCCGGAGTTTTCTTTATAAGTATAAGATTGTCTTATTAAAATATTTTATATATATCATATAATGATAATTAAAATGTGAGACAGGAAGAAAAAATACGTTTCTTTTGTCAAAATAATACTAGTAGGTCGCACTCAATATATGATTTTTTTTTTCTTTTTACTATTTTAATTTTTTACTTGTATAAAATTTATTTATGTCATATCGTTAGTATCATCATGTCTTTTAATTGTATTGGGAAGGAAATATTTAGACTTAGAATAGAATATTTCTTTTCGAACAAGAATTTATGCCATACACCAACTTCAAAGTTTTAGTACAATAAGTTTAGAAATTTTTTTCTTCAGAATTTTTCAAAGATGAACCAACATTTTAATCACATTAAATTATTGTTGGACATCGGGATTCTTTTTTACTAAACTAATCGAATTGGATCGACATAAATAAAATTTCCTGTTTATTTTTTCTAAAGAAAATAGTCTTCATCGTTGAACCTCTCTCTCCCTCTCTCTCTCTCTCTCTTTCTCGTTTTTCTTTTTTCATATAGTGTTGCAAATAGAGCAGAAACTAGCGTTACTTAGAAGAAAGAAAGATTATTATTGTGAGTTCATACTGTTTTCTCTGTTCATGAAGGCTTTTGTTTAATTCAATAGGTTTTTTTTTACATTCAAAAAAAAAAAAAAAAGAAGAAATGACAACATTTAGATAGAAGTACTATGTATGATAATGTTTCTCTGTCATTAGAATAATTAGAAAGCTTCTTGCTTCTCTCGAGTTCATTCGTCAATATATTCTTTTAAAAGATGGCTTTTTTTTTCGAGAATGCATATGTTTACAGAAACGTTGAATCTTTGCGCTCATTTTTTTTCACGCTCCATTCTTTGTCTTCTGGGAAACACATGAGCCTTTCTTTTACAAGTTCTCATACTCTCGCGTTCTCCGTTTGGTTGCTGCTTTTTCATTATCTTATGTCTAAAGCAAGAAAAAGAAAAGAGAAGGACCTAATATAATAGAAGAAAAAAAAATTGTAGTCAGAGAGAACAAACTGCAAAAAAAAAGCAAGAGTTCTATCAAAAACAGCACAATATAGTCACGACTAGAATAACAGGAGCAAGATGCGCATTTTTGCATTCACACATACACAGAGAGCCATTCTATTAAATAGCACGTCGAACCGAAAAAAAAAAGAAAGAAGAAGGAAGACAATTTATTAAAAAAAGAAATAGAGGAAACTACGAGAGAAACAACGGCTCCTTTGTCATCTGCTCAGCTTATAAATGACATGCATATTCATACTCTTTTTCTTTTCATATAAATATCTAGTCAAGGGAAATCTTCCACTACTTTATCAGGAAAAAAAGGTATGTAAAAATGAATATCTTCTGGGAATTAAGATAAACGGAATATAACCATATTAGAAGAATAATTATCTCTAAAGGGAACAAAAACCCAGCATACAAACGAGATGTCCTTACTAAGTTAAATATTCTTCTTCTTCTTCTTCTTTTTTTTTTTTTCTCCTATTTTAATATATTCAATGAAGCATAAATGAAATAATCTTTTGCATTTTCAGATATAATTCCACTGAGTATTCAAAAAATGTCCACAATATTTAATCATAGTAGTTCTTTTCCAATGAACATATCTCCGTTTACTACGAATATAGTTAAAACTTCAGCTATAACAATGAATACAGCAACAGAAACAATTCCACTTGAAAATCGACCATCTATTATGGCAACATTCATATCATTATATGCATTGATATTTTTTTTTGGTATTAGTGGAAATGTACTTGTCGTTCGTAAGTATAAGTTTTTATCTTAAATAGAAAAAGCTCAAGTTATGTTGTATATTTCTAGTTGTTGTTTGCCGTAATAAAGCCATGCAAACAGTAACTAATGTCTTTATTACTAATTTGGCACTTTCTGATATTTTAGTAAGGAATTTATATCCAATAATTAAATAAATCAAATTTATTTTTCATATTTCTCATAGATGTGTTGTCTGGCAGTCCCATTTACACCTATATCGGCTTATGGTAGTACTTGGCATCTTGGTAGAATACTTTGTCATTTAGTCCCAATGTCATTGGGAATATCAGGTAAATGCTAATTATTATGATATATTTTTCTGAATTCTAATTTCTGTTTTTTGTTTGTTTGCTTTAAACAGTTTATGTCTCAACATTAACCTCATTAGCGATTGCTGTTGATCGTTATTTTGTTATTGTTCATCCATTTCGTTCACGTATGCGTTTAGGTGTATGCATATTATTAATAATTGTTATATGGATTGTTGGTATTTCTATATCATTACCATTAGCAATATATATGCGATTTGATCGTACAAAATGTGAAGTAAATAATAAAAAAAAAAAAAAAAAGATAATAAATTTGATTTCTTCTTTTTTTTTTTTGCTTTGCCTTTCAATAGGAATATTGGCCACAATATACATCTCGACGGTTTTTTAATTTTTCATCACTAATATTACAATATTTGATTCCATTCTCAGTTATATCATTTAGTTATTATAAAGTATGGGTTGCATTAGCACGTCGTTCCTTACCAGGTCGTACACGTGTACGCGAAGAAGTTGAAATATGTCGTAAAAAACGTACAAATCGTATGCTTATTGCAATGGTTGTTATATTTGCTATATGTTGGTTACCATTAAATATAGTTCATATGGTTGCTGAATTTCATCGTTCACAATTAAGTCATTATAAAGTACTTTTTTTAAGTACACATGTTATTGCTATGTCATCAACAATTTATAATCCATTTTTGTATTCATGGTTGAATGATAATTTTCGTAAAGAATTTCAAAAAATAGTACCATGCTTATTTAAAGTATGTTGGTGTTTAAATCGTCGTCAAGCAAATAATTTATCAACACAATTAACAAATGTTGGCGATGGAGAGTTTTATGAACGTCCATCAACATATCAAATGGCAGGTGAATCAACAATAAATGCCTATACACAACAATATTCACAAATGAAATATTCAACATCAAATGGAAAAATCAATGGTTTACCAATGAAAAAATTAAATAATCAAGAAACTTCTTTTTCATCTCCTATTGATGATACATCTGTATCATTAATTTTACAACAACAACATCAACAACAAGAAGATCTATTAATTACATCAACTAATATAAATTCAAATAATATTTGACATCAATATTTTCTTTTCATAATTAGGCCTTGTCACATATAAACAAAAAAAAAATCAATCATCGTAACGTGATGCTATTTTCTTTTTTTGTTAGTTCGTTTACATATTGAATGAATAAAACAACGTCTCCATATGAAACTAATTTGATTGAATTATATATTAAAAAAAAAAACTTTTTTTTCGTAATTGAATTTTCGATTTTTCTATGAAAAGAAAAAATATCTATTGTTCAGTTATTATTAGAATTTTTTTTCAAAAAAACAATACTATAAGTCATCATAGAAATGTACATATAGAATATTTTATTTTTCTCTTGATTTTGATCGAATATATTTAATTATTGGCAAATCAATTGTATGTATTAAGTAAAATATTTATCATATTCTCAAAAGAAAATTTTCAAAATCAATTTCCTATTGACAATTCTGTCCTCAGATTATAGTTACATTGTCTTGATTAGTATTCAAACAATGTTTTCTTTGGAAAATATTGTTTGAATAGTTTTACGTCATCATGTACTGAGAAAAATTCCAGAAAACAAGTACATTTTCTCTATTGAGATAGGCAATTATGAAGCGATAGACAACAAAATAAGTTAATAATACATGAGAAAAACAAGTAAACCAAATCGGAACTTTGCATGCCAATTATATCAGTCATGTGAAAAGTTTCTTGACCTAGATAAAAACATTTAATAGAAGACGTTACAAAAAAGATATATACCAGAGTATATTCAACAAGTTTTTATGAAGAATAAAATGGTCAATTTTTTGACATTATCATTATGTTAATAAATAGTTCACATAACAGTTCTTCAATTTGAGGATATAAGAACCTCAAATCAAGTCAAATAAATTGCTAAGAACTACTTGAATCAACTAGAAGTAACAATAACTATAAATGAAAGACTGTATGGTATGTAAGAAAAATATCATATTGCTGTTAGTTCAAAAAAATTTTCCCCACATACTTGATTAACTTAACAAATTAAATTTTCTTCTATGTAAGATATAGAATAATGTTAAAACCATGTTTTTAAATTCCCGAGAATTTGAAAAAAAGATGATTACCAAGCCAACGTACAATTAGTCAAATGTGACCTATTATACAGGTACTCGAAGTTTTCTAGTAGGTCGACTAACAATCTTTAAACAAAAAGAAAGAGGCCTTGCTACGAATGCATAGCAGTAAATTGACTTTTTTATTTTCTATAAGTTAGACAATTAAGAAAAAAACGACATATATTCATCAAATAATTTCCGTGCAGTACACTTTGTGACAATCAAAAAATATTATTAATAAGAATGTAAGATTCTTTTATAATTAAAAGACTAATTCATGCATTAATCCGTAGATAGTTGATGAGAACGATCAAATATATGTTAATTACAAATTTCAAAAATAGTCTTTTGAAATATGACAATCATTTAGAGTATTCAATAACTTTCATATATAATTATTCGAATTTATTGTAAAGTATATTATCAATTGATACATAGATATTTACTATACAAGAATTTGATATTTTTTCATCTTGTTTTTGTCCATTATTTTTATGATAGAGAAGAAGCATAAAAAAAAGAATATCTATATTTTTTTTTGTCGACACATGCAAATAATCATAGACAAATACAAAAACAAATATCAAATTTCTTTTCTATATGACTTAAGCAAACATTTTTTTATCACCTACATTTTTATACTATAGCTCGGATTCAGGTCAAAACAAGAGCTTTCTATTAGGGATTATTTTATGCATATATATTAAAAAACTGAACTTTTCAGTTATCGAATTTCACTTGGTTCATATTTCAGAAGGACTCGATTTAGAAAAGAAAAGAAAATTATTCTTTGTGAATGATCATATAACCTTACCCTTTTTCTTTCTCTTTCCTAAATAATACCAGGAATCATTATAATAGTACCATACACCGATCGAATTACTTCTTTTTTCTTTTTTGACGTATTCAATGAATCATTTTATCACATAAAATACAGTCGGTTATTATCGATTAGAATATCATAACTATAAACAATATTCTACAAGTGGAATTAAATATGGCAAAATCATATTCAAATGCATATCGTAGTTCATTTACAGATGATGATTCTGGTATTAGTTGTGATTATGATTATTCATCATCAAGTGAACTTAATTCATCAAGAATGACATTAATTGAACCATGTTTACAAATTCAACCACAAACAATACCATTACCTATTCCAGGAGTCGTTGGACGAAAACGAACTAATACAGTACCTTTAATTAAATTCCCATCAGATGGTATTAGTGAACGTATACGTCCAGCAACAATGAAAAATAGTAAAAATAGTGATTTTATTATTTGTCACACAAATCGTGGAGCATATATTGCTTATCGAACATCAATAGTTCCTGAATGGGTTACAAAACTTGTACATGAAATTGAATTACAACAACGATAAGTAGAAAAAATAACTCATATGTGCATGACATTGGTTAATGATCTTTGTGTTTTGCCTTGTTCAATGCTTTCTTTTATAAATATAATATATGCATGTTGGGAATGCTTAAAATATTGTTATATTTATTCGAATATATTAAATAGATGTTTTGCATAAATGCTTGACTTATGAATACATCGGGGAAAAAAAACATTGTTAGATTTTACATTGTAAAACGAATATTTTTGTTATGTGAAACTGTTCAAGTGTTTTATTGCTTATTTGAGTTTTATTTTTTTTTCATAGTGATAAGACCAGTATTTCATATGAATTTCATGATAAATAAGTTTTTATATTATAGATGATAATTAAAATATGAAGATTGGCTGTAAAACTTCAAAATAGATGAAGTAAATATCTGAATAAATATGTTGTAAAAACTAGTTTTATATATATTTGAAGAGTATAAATTTTAAGTAATCAAATCAATGAATACTAGTAATCGATAATTGGAAAAAAATTGAACAAATAAGATTAATAGGTAAGGACTAGATATCCGTTCGAAATGAGTTTGATCGAAAAGTTTAGTATAAAAACAAAATACTTTATAACCACTTGATATTATTTCCTCCTTTTTTTTTTTGTTTTTGTTTTTTTGAAACTTGATAACTATTGTTTGTAACGCATTTGTTACTAATTATTATGATTCAAATGTTTGCGAAGGCATTTGTCTATTTTGTAATGCACAAGATAAATGACTCTATCGAACAGAATGGATTTGTTCTTTTGTGTGATGATCGATGAGAAAAACAAACACTTTATCAAAAAATGTCAAAAAAGAAATCGATTGGAACAATTCCATCATAATGGAGGAAAACAGTTTATCTTATATTGACAAATTTAAGATTTTGAATACTGACAAAAATTTAACCGAATATTTTACAATACGAGTTGATATTTCACTAGACTAATTAATCACAACTGTACTTATTATTGATATGACAACTTTTGATGTTGTACTATCGTCTAGTACCTAAATAGAATCAGTACAAATTGCTCATAAGTATTTATCATGCTTAGCAGTGAGTAATATTAAATGATTGGTGCAATAATAACTCTATTAATATAATTATCTTTCTGCCTCGTTATTCTTACAGTTTATTCATATAATTATCCAATTAGTTTAGCATTTCTATCTAACACGCACCAGATTAGTAACAAATATTTCATTATAGAACAAATCATAAGAAAATTATCACAACTGCAAATTAATATAAATAAAACTAAAAAAAATCTAAATTTAATCTAAATTCATTCAAATTTTCTACTATTACAAAAATAAATCATTTAAACAATGATAATATACCATTTAAAATCAAAAAAAATTCTTCCGAATAAATCGGTACAATCTTTTTTCTTGTTATTTAAATATTCCTTAAATCAAATTTGCAAACAAAAGAAAAAAGAATCTGAGCTTTTACAATTTTTGACACTCCAAATAAAACATCATCCCTAATAATAAATTACACACATACACACATAAACAAAAAAAGAAAAACGAACAAGATTTCTTAGCACAATGAGCAAAAGAAACAAACAAGGAAAGAAACAAAAAATAGGCTAAACCAAACACTTGGTTAGAAAAATAGTATCAAAAAAAAAAAAAAAACAAAAAACAAAACGAACAGTTATGTACATACAATCAAAAAAAAACAAAAAGAAAGAAAGAATTCAAGAAGCTCTAGCGTATTATTATATTTTTTTTTCTTATTCTATATATTTTTGTAAAACATCACATTTTATTCGCTTTTTTATCAGAGAATACTAATCTACAAAGTTATTATTCTTAAAAACAGAGCAAAAAAAAATGGGCGAAAAAAGAAATCAAATGTCACTGTGTTGACTAGATTATTTTATTTATTTTCTATATAAGTCAACTATTGTCAAGATGAAACAAAATTATCAAATGAACCCAAATATTCAAGTGCAGAACGATAACAAAATTGATATTGATCCTATAAGATAAAACAAATTTTTTTTTTGGATTTTTTGGTTTCAAAAACAAAAAAATAATCAAATCTTTACTTCTGTTTGCACAAGTGCTGGTCGTTGTGTGCGTAATAATTTCACCGTTTGAAATATATCAACAACACCTTCATATCGTATTCTTTCAAGTACAATACTTAACGTTAGAAAAACACCTGTTCGTCCCGCACCTTTACCACAAAAACGAAAAAACTCATTAAAAAAAAACAAAAAACTCTTTTGAATTAAATTTACCAGCTGAACAATGTACAACAATAGGTCCTTCTTGACCGAAACCTTCTTTAGTTTTATGTACTTGTCCAATAAAATCAATAAAACCTTCACCAATTTTTGGTACACCTTGTTCAGGCCATTCAGTATATAGAAAATGACGAACAGTACGAGATTGTCCATCCTATTAAAAGATTACAAAGAAAAAAAAAATTCTTTCTTTGATTAACATAAATAAGAAAAAATTCTATTTACTCTTGAATCAGTCACTTTAAATTCACTTAATAAATATTGTGGCATATTATAAGCACCAACGGGATCAACAATAAAATAACCATAACGTGTTGATCGATCTGATGGCCAATATTGTACACATTTTTCTCTGCCCATTTCTTTTAACTTTGTTAACATAACAATTATTGTTACATTATGTTCCCATACCATTCGCCAAAAATCATCCATTGTTTCAGTTAATGGTCCTTGAGTTGCAATATAACCATTTTTAAATCGATAACCCTATTGAATATATATATATATAAATATATATTTTGATAAGTATGAAGAAAAATTAAAACTTACATCAATATAAGATGCATTGATATAATCCGATCCTTCAACACCACGGACAGGGGATAAGCATACACGAGTATTTTCATCTAAGAATCGAGAATAATTTTTGTTTTTGAAAAATAAAATTAACTTACAAGGTAAAATATTCACAAGACGATTTTTAAATTTATTAGCTGGATTATTTGCACTTAAAAATTTCGATGGTTGTGCTTTGACATTAGCCAAACGCTTGATTTTCGAAGAAAAAGAAAAAAAAATATATATATGTTTAATATTAAAAAAAAAAAAGATATTCTTTTCTTTGTTTACTTTAAATTCAAGTTCCATTTCTGTTAATGAACTATCATTTATTGGCTGTAATAATCGTTGTAAATGTGTTAATAAATTTCTTGCTAAAACTTCGGTTTGACCTGATTGTATAGCTTCATTTATTGCTTCATAAATAAATATATATTGTTCTTCAGTTTGAACAATATAATTTCTATTAAAACAAAAACAAAAATCAAACAATAATATTTTCTTTTTTCTTTTGTGCATCATGGAATACTTTTCATTATCTTATCTAAAGTCAAAAATGCGAAGAATTTTTTAATATCCGTCTTATCTTACCTTGAGGAAAAGATAGCTTGAAGTCAAAAGGATTCTTCTTCAATTATCCGCTTCGTTTCTATTTTCAATATTCATGAATAGATGTGAAGAAAGAGAGCGCACTAGGATGATAATGCTAATTTACACATGAGTGGAATCAATCGTTTTTATTTCCGATCAGAAGAAAAAATTTTTGCTCCGGGCTCCGATGAGAAATATTTTTTTGGTTTCAGTCTCAGTCAGAAAAAATTCTTGATTTCGGTCTAAACAAAAAGAATTGGTTCATGCTTCTGTCTCGACTCTGCTGAGATCAGAAACCATCTTACTCATACCTATGCTACTTATAGGAATTTCATTAATTTTCGAGTTATGATCATATTGTTAAAGATTTTTTTTTGTTTTCGTAAATTCTATACTAATGATGATCTCTGTAAGATAAGTAGTTTCTTTTTGAATAGAATGATAATAGTATAATGATAAATTCTCTGGGTGAACAAAAGAAATATTTGTTTTTCTTTACCGTTGAGCTCTTAATAAAGTAACATGTCCATAAATATCAATAGTTTTTTCATGTTTTAATCTTTCTAATAGAGCATCAATAACAATAAAACAACCCGTACGACCAACACCAGCTGAACAATGTACAACAATTGAACCAGCATCAGGTGGATTAAGAACTTTAACTCTTCGAACAAACATTAAAAATGATGTTGCATGTTCTAATATTCCATGATCTATATATCAATGAAAATGAATAATAATAAAAAAATCAGAAAACTTTCGTTTTTTTTATATTCTAACCTGGCCATGCTGTAAATTGACAATGTCGAATTTCTCGTTTTTCCGGATGACCAGCCTAAAATCGATTTACTAATATATTCTTTATAATTCAAATAATAAAATCATACCCATGCTATAGTAAATGTTCGTATACTATAAGATGCAAGTTCAATAAAATCTGTTAAAGTAACATGTATTGAACCATAAATTTCTGTTCCTCTTGCTGGCCAATATTGATCACATTTAAGTCGATTTCGTTCTTCTAATTTAGTCATCATAACAATACAAGCTGAATTTGTTTCCCATATCATTCTCCAAAAATCAGCAAATGTATTTGGTAATGGACCTTGTGTTGCTATATAAGCATTTTGTTTTCTATATCCATCTAAATAATTTGCATTTATATAATCACTTCCTGGTAATCCATCAATTGTATGTAAAATAACACGTGAATGATCATATGCAATAACATTAGCATAACGATTTTTTGCTTTATTATATTCGAATTTAGAATTTTCCCATGAAAATTGTTGACCAGGATCAATAGACTAAAAGAAATACATAGAGTTAATTATATTAATTAATTTGTTTCTCTTTTTTTCTTTTTTTTTTTTTTTTACTTCATATTCTTGTGAAAATTTATAATTATCAGCTGCTTTTAAACGTTCAAGATGTTCAGAAAATTCGTCAACATGTATAGGAGGATAATTTGTTAAAATAATTTCTTTGTTATTATTATTATTATTATTATTATTCATAATATTATTAGTATTATATGTATTTATTATTTGATTTCGTCGTAATTCAACATGTTCATTTGATGATGT